ATTCTGTTTAACCGGTCCATCTTGATGTCTTGCGCTACACGTAGGCAATTAAAGTAGGTGAATAAGACTGCGCGGGGTCGCGGCGTCTAGATAAATGGTTGAAGAGGTGAGAATAGGACGTAGAGGAGAAAGGTAATAACGCGCGGTGATGTCGATGTTGATTGATTGTACTGAAGAGGCGATATTTAGATTGAAGCTTGTAAATTGCTGGGTGTTGACGAAGCCTGGGTCTGCCTGCAGAACGCAATTACCTAAGCAGCAGCTTTCTAATCGATAACGGAGCTCTCCAGTTCTTCTAAGCTATTAGCACGTGACTAAAGGATTTCAATGGATGTTCATGGATTTCTAAGTGGGGCCTCTTTTCAGCCTCGATTGTTAGCCTTGCATAATGCCAAGCTCTGCCGCTAGTTCATGTGGGGTCCCGCCGGGACGTACCAGCCACAAACCCCCACAACCCTAGCACGGGTACTTGCCTTGTACTTAAGTACCTACCTTCCGTAAAAGGAAATCAGGATCTCAAGATAGTGGCCCTCTATTCCCACGACCACTTTTTGGTGTTTTCAAGCAGCATGTTTAGACAACAAGCAACCTTGCAGTGAATTTGATTGCTTTAGAAGACATTAGAACATGCTCTCTAAATTATATAAGAAGATTGGGAACCATGCCTTCATACTAGAGTAGGTACGACGTCATCGTCTGACAGGTTTACATTATTTACGCATAGTTAAGTTGATCAAGTGGTGTTTGTTACCATCTCCGGTGGATGAATAAACAACTGCAAGTCAAAGGTAGGTACCTACCTAGTTAGGTCTGTCTAGTTCAACATATCACATTACTCTTTAAAGTCAATAATTCAACTATTTCGGCGACTTTCCAAAATTTGCGTACAAGATTAACTAAAACATCACCATAAAATTACAAGACTTCATTCCTATTCCCAGTTTGAAGGTGGCTTCGCCTGCAACCTCTCTTATGAGCACCTTACTACTCATAATTAGCAAATACCTCTCCCGGCTATCTGGCTAGTCATCTAACTAATTTAGGTACTTGGAATAGTATGAGTTCAATCGACTCGGAATAGAAGCTTTATTCAGGTGCCACAAATTACCGCGACTTTTATCTCACTACCATCATTTTGTAGTTTACAAAAAGCTTTGAAGATTAACCCTAGATATCCTTTTGTAAAATATAAGTTTACGTGTAGTAGCTCTTACAATGGTTAGCAGGAGACTGGCTGGCCTCTTGTTTTTATAGAGGCAATCTCCTGCTTGGAATAACCACATATTCTATAACTAGGCATATTAGTCAACTTGGTTTGGTAACTTCCCCTATGTTAGACCTACGATTTCTAGAACTTGCAAGGCACTTACAATAGTTACACATATTTATCATTATCTTAGCTCACAACATAAAAATTTAAGAAGTCAAAAAATCTAGCATTTGTTGGTAACAGACAAAGCATCTTAGCGCCATGTTCCTCAGAATGCCAAGCGTCTTCTGTCTGCCGACAATGCTGCCTAACCCGGAACGCCATTGCTTGGCTACCTATGGTACACCGAAAGGGAAACTGAAAACTCTGTCGTCATACAGGATTATGTTTAGCCGTACTGGACCCTTATTTTCCTAGCAAAAATCATAAATGGAGTAACATCGCAATCCAAACTGCAACAAAAGGTGGGTATCATGGTGAAGTTATGATCCTTCTAAGGGTCTTTAGGAGCCGCGTCCGCTGGCTTGGCAGGGGAATCTTCGGATTGTTCGCTCTTGACTTCTGTATTGTCGTCTTGCGTTGTCTCGGGCGCAGCGGCGGGACCATCCATCTCGACATCACCATCTTGGTCGATCTTCTCTGGTGATGGAGGCTTGGTGTTTGGTGTGGTTGTGGAAGACTTTTCCACCTCTGCAGCCGGTGACTTCTTATTTTCACCCGCATCCTGCATAACCTCGTCAGACTCTGCGGTTGGTTCTGCTTTACCTTCTGCGCTAGTATCCTCGGCAGCAGTGGTCTTCTCGCTCTCACTCCGAGCTTTATCAGATTTTGCAGAACCTTGAACCTCTTTGAGAGCCTCTTCTTGCTCAGACGAGCTAGTAGCTCGAACTTCATCTTCGGTGTCCTTCTCATCCGGCTTTGTGGGAATGGTAGCATCAGCCTCAGGGTCTAGCGTCTTATCCACATCCTCCATGACAACGTCATCCGTCTCCTTAGACTTGATGACGCTCTCGGAAGTGCCATTGGCAGGAGTTGCGACACCACTATCGACCTCGGCATCCGAGTTTCGATAGTCAATGAAGGTTCGTCGTGCGCTTCCATTGCGATGAATCCCATTGGCTCTGTCGAGATCCTCGTTGTCGCTCTCTTCATATTCGTTCTCGCGCTCTATGCGCTGTTCCCATCGGCGCTGTGTCATCCGAACATCCTTATTCTCATCCTCATCAAGATCATCAAGCTCAGCCTCTTCCTCGTCGGACATTGCGCCCATAGAGTGGCGAGGGACATCTTGCATCTGCACGGATGGAGCGTGTGCGGTGCGTCGGAGGTTCTCAATTAGCTGGTTCTTGATCTTTTCCAGGTATTCGGGACTATTAGCATTCTCCATATTGGAGGAGCGCACGTCAAGGGTGTAATCGGGACCGTAGTACTAATTTCAGAGTTAGCACTAAAATAGCAGAATGATGAAGATATGAACTTACATCGTAGTATTCGTTGAATGGTAAAGTGCGGTCCATCTGCGCATCAACGAGTAGGCCGGTTTCGAATGCCCAGGTACGGGCGACATTGCGCATGGTATAGCCACCACCACCAAGGACTAGAGTTGGGCGGTTGAAGCTTCTGACATACTTCACGCAGTTGGCATGGCCATCCATACTCAGGTTGAAGCAGCCTAGGCGATCACCCGACAGACTATCACCGCCACACTGAAGAACGACGGCTTCTGGGTTGTAGTATTCCATGACGCTAGAAATGACCGGCTCGAATATCGACTTATATGAAGCGTCGTCTATGCCATCTCGAAGGGGAAAGTTGGTTGCATAGTATCGTCCTTGACCAATACCAATGTCTCTCAATTCACCTGTTCCTGGGAAGTACTCGCCGTACTTGTGGAAGGAAACGGTCATGACTCGGTCCGTTGTGTAGAAAGCTTCCTCCACACCATCGCCGTGGTGAACATCGATATCGATGTAAAGGACGCGCTTGTTGAATCTTAGTAGTTCTAAGATGCCGAGAACAATATCTACGAAATAGATGCGATGTTAGGACTACTAGACAAGCAAGGGATAACAAAATAAAGAGGGAGATGAAAAGTAGTATGAAACGTACCATTCACATAACAGAAGCCGCTGGCTTCTGATTTCTTCGCGTGATGAAGTCCACCAGCCCAGTTCACGGCGATATCGCACTTCTGTCGATTGAGGCGTGCGGCGCCCTCCATACTGCCACCGGCACTAATGCCACAGAATTCGAATAAGCCATCGAACACTGGGCAATCATCTCCGACGTTGTATTTGCCTTGCTCGCGCTGGAAGTTATCCATGTTCTCGGGTGTGACGCGCTGCAGGAAGTCAATGTACTCGTCTGTGTGGAATTGCGTCATCTCGAGTCGTGTCGCTGGTTTCGCTCGCTAGAAGCTATCAGATATCCCGTTCATAGAATTAGATGGTATCGGGAATACTTACGTAAATCTCCATCTTCTTATAGACGCCATAGTTCATGATGAGAGAATGCGCCAACCGAATGCGATGAGGCTTCATCGGATGGCCTGAGACGTAGGCGAAGTTGCCGATGTCGGAATCATAGAAATAGGCGACCTTTTTGGGAGAGGCAGCTCCCAAGGCACACCCATTGCCATTCCAAATGTCCACAGGTGCGTGCGTCATTGTTGCTGACAATTTGACGAAAAGAATGTGGATTGTGAAGGTTAGGTTGGATAAGAACAAGGTAGGAAGAAATCGGGGATCTACCAGAATTCTGAGCTTAAGGGATTTGGGTCTGATCTACAATCGATAATGTGATAGTGGTACTAGTACAGGTATGTAGTAGTGTCGGCTGTGGGGATTGAGGATCGAAGTAGATTGGTTGTAATATTGGTAAAAGTCAGAAAGGGTTTGGGGGGTTCGGTGGGTTGGAATTTAAGGTCAAGCTCTGGGACTGGTAGTCCTCTGGTTACCTCTGTTTTGATTGTTGCTCTGATTGGCTAATTGATTGGAAAAATCCTAATTTCCTATTGGCTGTTAATGTGTAAGTGGTACTGTGCAGTTAAGGTAGGAAAACTTTAATAAATGGTGCCTTGCAGCAGCTCAGAACCCTAGACTTGAACTGGCTGTGGTCTGTCTCATGCAGTGTTCATTTGATGTTATTTTACGTTTTATATTATGTTAGATTGACAATGTTCTTAAGTAGGGCAAATAATATTATACTTAATAGTCTTTCTACAAACTACTATTTAAAGAGAGGAAACGAGTTCAAAAACTCCAAGTCAAGCGTAGGTGATTCTTTGACATACTTTCATGTAAACTGCCAAGTAGATCTCTTCTAATTTTTTATATCTATAACAGGCTTACTATAGAACTCTCTAAAAGGGGTGGGATTATATACGTAGAAATACCCCTTAGCGAGCCTCAGGGACTCGATAACCATTGAGAGGAATAACTAAGGGAAGAAGTAGGCTCAAAGGGTGGCTTTTAATACACAGATGCTGCTTGCTACACACAGCAAAACGTCCAAGCACTGTACATATTTTCGGAGCTGAGAAGTATTAACCGTTTCATTCAAGACGGAATTGCTCACGGGATGAGGAAAAATGGGTTCACTAGCTTCAGTGTTGCCACCTAAGTTAAAAGATGGCGTTGTCTTTGATGATGGCGCGATGCTAAAAACGGAGGACGTTGGAGTGAGGGTGAGTGATGAAAAACAAAAAGTTTGGTGTATAATCAATCTAACAAGTAAAAGCAAAGCAAGAACATTGATTGCTAATAGAAATTGAGAAGACAAAAAGGAAATCCGACACCTGTGTGATTCGAACACACGCCCCCGAAGGGAATGCCTAAGCTGTACCAATCAAGCTGATAATAGCAGGGCATCGCGTTAACCACTCCGCCAAAGTGCCTACTGATGGTGTTCAGTAGCTGTATGTTGAAACTTTTGCCCGCTAATGATAGTATATTACCTGGTCAAAGACCCTACTAAGGTGCGGGGAAACAAGACTGGACTTCAAGTTACACAGTACGAATCACAAAAGGCTTCTCGGCGCTTTGATAGAGGCGATCCAGCACTCTATTCCACAACAGGATAAAAGCCAATTCCGACGTATAATATTTGACCCGAAGACAATTCTAATTAATAAGCCAAATAGGTTGACTCATGATTGTTTCTATGATGCATGTTTGGTTAAATGGTAGCATTGGGAATCATTGGTTCTCAGTACGACATGATGGCGGGGTGAAAGCCATGATGGAATCCTCTTTACCCAACTTGTAAATCAAAAGGCGCATAAAACGCCTTTCTCGATACTCCCGCGACCCACCAAGAAGCTCGACATGCATACATAGCAGCATAAGTAGGTACGCTGGTGGCTTGATAACCTTTATAATGTTTAGTCATAGTGTTCTTTGAAAGATAAATGTAGATGGAATTACCCCACTTGCTAGGAGCTGAGCTTCTCTAAATATTCCTAAAGTTCTCTCGTCATACTTAGATAGTCATTCAAAGTCATTCATCAACGCGCCCACGATGTCTAACCAGGAAATCATACTCTTTGACTTGCCGTCCAAACCGCCTAACAAGGCGTGGTCACCGAACCCATGGAAGAGTACGTCTATTGCCATCCTAAGAAAGAGAGATATAGCATCTAAACTACGAGTAGCTCGGTTTGTCTTGAACTATAAGGGTCTTCCCTATAAGACGGAATGGGTGAGCTTCATCAATGTTCTAATACTATCAATTCGAGCATTGTTAACTCCCAATGCCAGGTCGAATATCCGGATATCAAGCCCAAGTTTCAAGACCAGTGAGCCAGCTCATAACGAGTATATCAGCACTCCCTAACAGCGACCATAGCCTCCCAAAAGCAGATGCTTATACGATTCCTACCGTCGTTCTGCCTGATGGCACATGGGTAACCGAATCGCTGGAGATTGCAAAAGTACTTGAGAAGAAACACCCCGAGCCGAGCCTACATCTAGACTCGCCTTACATAGCCAAGATCTTCGAGCAGCTTACCAACATGAGGAACCCCATCGGGCCTGTCTTCATCCCGGGGGTACTCTTCAACTTACTGAACGAAGCTAGCCAGGACTACTTCCGCACGACGCGCGAAGAGGCGGTCGGAAAGACGATGGAAGAGTACGCGAAAGAGGGCGGCGCATCGGCGTGGGAGACCGCCGCGCCATGCGTGCAGAAAGTTACCGCATTGCTAAAGGAGAACTCCGAAGGCCCCTTTTTCGAGGGGAAGACTATCGGTTTTGCCGACTTCATATGGGGTGGATGGCTTCTCTTCATGCAGAGAATTAGCGATGAGGCCTGGGCCGGAGCGCTGAAAGCTTCTGGAGAACCGGAGGTCCATTTGAAGCTTCTCGAAGCATTGAAGCCTTGGTCCGAGAGAGATGATCACTAGTCCCATAAGAATTGCTTGCAAGGTGGAATTCCTGATTTGTAAATCTGCAGAAATATCCAAGAAGATGCCGTGTCAATATGTGGAGATGACTCTTAACGTGTGGTTACCCCTACAGGCGTTATAAACCCAGATAATGAATTAAAAATATGAGAAGAACGATTTGACGATGAAAGTTGAAGTTCAAAGCTAGAGACGCACAGGCCATAGACAAGATACACAGGTACCTAAGCGCACAATAAATTAAGCCATCACGTGATATAATTCCTCTTTACGGTAATCGCTTCTACAACTTGTGGGCCCCTAGGGTTTTTTTTTCTTAGGAAGCCGCACATTTCGCGATTGCGTACCTCCACTACCACTAAGAAATTTGGAGCCGTTGAACTCTTGAACTTTTTTTCGTTTTTCGTGACAACGCCCACCTCGACAAATTCGACCAACATCACACCCGATCTTACAGAAATCCGAACAAATTCGTCGCAATGGCCAAGATTTCGTAAGTTTATTCTCCCGTTCGATTTCGAATTATGCGATTTTCACTCGAAGCTTGGAGGGGTACGATAAGAGCTGGGAATTGAATTTTGGCGGGGAAATGGAAGAGGAAGAGGAAGAGGAAGAGGGAATCGATAAACGAACTATTTCGTGGGACAAGAGAAGGCGTACTAGAAACTTCTGATGACGAAATCTACGACCTTAAGATGGCGTCTGAGTTGAATCTTATTCTCCAAGCTTCGGTGTAGTAGTGTTTGCCTCGGAACAGCCACAAGAGACGGACGATATGATATCGCATGGAATGAGGGAGCTCTGAAGCAGATTCGCTAACAATTTGCTTCACAGGCGTGGTGCCCCCGGTGGCAAGCTGAAGATGACCCTCGGTCTACCTGTGTAAGTGCAGGAATTTGATCCCGAATCGATATCCGGCGCTAATAAATCGAACAGCGGTGCTATCATGAACTGCGCTGACAACTCCGGCGCCCGAAACCTGTACATCATCTCCGTCAAGGGTATCGGTGCCCGCCTGAACCGACTGCCTGCTGGTGGTGTCGGTGACATGGTCATGGCCACCGTCAAGAAGGGAAAGCCCGAGCTCCGAAAGAAGGTCCACCCCGCCGTTATCGTCCGACAGTCCAAGCCCTGGAAGCGAACCGACGGTGTCTTCCTGTACTTCGAGGACAACGCTGGTGTTGTAAGTTTCCCCTATTTTTACATCTATACCCTAAGATCCGACTGCTCGCCCCATGGTAGTTGAGGGGGATGTCTGTGGGGACTACACAGCGGAACTTTGTGCGACAAGGACATATAGCTAGCTAGAATACGGGATCGCTACGTATCGACATATCCAATTGCTTAGGTGAATAATCTGCTAACACCTCATTTTCTAGATCGTCAACCCCAAGGGTGAGATGAAGGGCTCTGCCATCACCGGACCCGTCGGCAAGGAGGCTGCTGAATTATGGCCTGTAAGTGATATTACCCAAATACCCTCATACCTATATATTCTAACTCGCGTATACAGCGTATTGCCAGCAACTCCGGTGTTGTGATGTAAACTGAGAGCGTTTCGAGAGCACTGGTGAGAGGCAGATTCATACAACCTACCTTATTGACGACGACAAGTCATCACGATTGGAAGACACCGACACGGCCAGCCACTTTCATGAAAGGCGTGGAAGGAAATGACGCAGACATCTATCGCGTGTCTGGCTGGAGGACTGGTCACTTTGCATTTCGGCTACGGGGCGTAAAGGAGACATACCAAAAGAACAGCATCCTGGACGAATGAAACGTTCAGTTCCCAATTTTTACCTGCTATGACTTCGCATGTGACTTTTTTTCTCCGTGTGCGATTTAACAATTAACGAACGTGCTCTATTAATTCATAAGAGTTGTTTACTAACTTACGGCATAAGATGATGTTTCTCTTAGATCTTATTTGATGAGACGACAATAGCCGGCTTGAATTACACTGCTGTTCAATTTATAAGGGGCTATAACTATAGGCACTTAGGAAGGAAGGAAGAATTAACTGAACCCCTACCTTCATAGAACATGTATGAAGCTGGTATCAAGGACGAGATACTAATCATCCGACCCCCCCCCTAACTGCTCATAATTCAATGCATGAAAGTCATCATTGCTCCGACCTAGTTCTGTATTTCCCCTTTCGAATCCCCCAAATTAGTTTGAGAGTCTAGTAGTTTTTTGAGGAAAGGTAGATACTATCTATGATGGCGTTTGAGTAACTCCCTGGCGAGAAAGTCTGTAGACAAAACCGCCTCGTCTATATTCAAGGAGCTGGATTGTAATTGCAATATTCGACTGGAAGTAATGCCTGCTAAGAAAGTAGAGTCGCACAGGTATCTATCAATTTTAGGATCATGAACGAATAGTAGAGTACGAAGAAATATTTAGCAGAAAAGGGAATATACTTGTCTACTGAACACTTACCTCACTGGCAGGCAGATCTTACCTACTTTATACAACTATCTTCATGGCGAAGTGGCACATACACGACGCACATACATACACGACCAGCGCCAGTATGAACAACGATAGCCGTCTTTGTGCATATAGGAGTCGTAGGATGTAATGCGGTATCATATCTATGAGAATACAATTCTATCTTCAATCCTTGCTACGTGGATAATTAATCATGTCACATCTATGCCAGTCTGTGTGTGTTGAAGGGTAATATTTTGCACCCTATGAACCTCTATGCCTCTAATCCATAACTCCCAATCCATGCATTTTATGCATTTTATGCACAAAACAATGCCCGCTGTATGATTTGGCGAGGGTGGATAGGAGTTGGTCCAAGTATCCAAACTTCCCATCCACCCGCCTATGCAAGATGATGAACCCGGTGAACGCTGTGCCGCCCTTTTCCTGAACTCCTGTGCTAAATTCCAATGCCACTTTTTGTATGTGCAAATATACAATGCTGCCCTTTAACCCTATGTCCATGTTTGGGGTTTCGCGAAACCCTTTCCCACACCCCATTTCCTTCGCCCCTTTACCTCTACCTCTGATCGTTTGGTTCTGGTGTAATTCGTTCATTTGTTTTCACCCCCAGGGATGATACCAGTACTGGCGTGGAATGGCGTTTGGTCCAAGTATCCAGATCACCCTCCAACCTCAGTACGATAAGTGGGTGGACTTGGTGTTGGTTCAAGTATCCAACAAAGTATTGTGTTTGTCCACCTCACCTATCAAAGTGGCGTGTGTAGGAGGGTGGAATGAGCGTAGGTTCAAGTATCCTACTACCCATCCATCCTTCGTTGGTTCATCCCTAGGGGTGTGAGAGGGTGGAAGAGATTCGGCCCCAAGTGTCCGATATCCTTTCACCGTTTGTGTGGGGGCGGGTGGGAGTTCGGTTGAGTATTTTTTGAACTTCCCACCCGCCCTATGTCTTGCATGAATGGGGGAGTGGGTTGAGTGGCATCCACACATCCCCCAGCAGCAAGAGGTGAGAGAGGGTGGATATTTGTGCTGAGGGG